AATTTACGATTTTTGATCGTGACCATTCTGATTAGGAATGACTGATCAGGTCAATATTTACATTTGCTGGAGTTTAACCTCTGCACTGACGGCTTCAGTTTTATAATCAAACTTCGTTACCACGACGACCAGAGTAGGAGACAAAAGCAGGTAGAGTTTATTTTTAAAAATAGTAGAAAAAAATAGTAGAAGAACTTCATATCATTAGTACAAACCCCACCATGATCTTTTCAAAGTCGACAGGAAGTAAACGTACATGAACATTAGTCTGACGTCGACTTCCATCTTTTCTAGATGTTCTACTTTGGTAGTCAGACGCTGCAGATCGTCTGACTACTTCTAACTACTGATAATTAGTTTTAACGACTGAAACAACTTGAAACCCAACAACTTGGATATTGTTACGATGCAGACACCGTCTGATGTCTGTGCCTTTGTTTGTTTTTCTGCGGTGTCTGAGTTCTGGTTTTGTAAATGCCTTCCAATGAACTTAATTTTATTTACCAGCTGAGGTTTTTTTTTTTTTTTGACTAAAGATCTTTTCATCTTTGAGGAGGACAGGCGGCAGCTGGAGGTGTGACAGCCTCTCCACAGAAACACTGACGCCACAAATCGTTTCGACAAAGAACACTTAACATTTAACAAAGTAAACGCTGCATTGTCTGAATGGATCATGTGAAGCGTGCGTTGCTCTAAGACTTTGACAGCTCGTCATTACTGGCTGTGCTGCTTCTCACATGACAACTTTGTTTTAAGTAATCTGACATATTTGCTGCCCCCAGTGGTCGGTTTGTCACCGTGGTTACGTAATTGGAACAAAACATCCCAAAATGTAGACATTTGAACCGAGAGGCAGCGGGTGATCGACCGCTGCATCGTCAGCCGGCGGTTCAGAATCTCGGACCAAATCTGTTCCTGACTCTGTGGTGTCTTCATTTTTATCTCCATTGTGCTGAAGTCTTTGTCCAGCTGTCATGAAACCTTTAGAAAAGAAAGCAAAGCGTTCTTGAACATATCCAGTTAAGAATCTGTTTGACAATCGCATTCCGATGCCTTTTGTCACGAAGGACGTGTTTCTCTAAAGGTATGTACATTAAAATAATTGAAAGTCTATTTATTGTTATGTTTTTATAATTCTCTTCAAACCTCAGACTCACAGACTCATTTATAGACCAGTGGAGTAAAAAACTGACCTTTTTGTTTTTGTTTTTACTTTTTTTTTTTTGGCAAAGAAAGTCGGTTATAGTGGAGCAAAAAAAGTGAAGAAAAATAGTTTTGGTGAATGTGTGTAACAGTATTTGTACAGGAAACAGAGTGCAGTTCAACTCACATATTTATATATTTCACATATTTATAAAAAGCAAACATCATAAAAAAAAAAACAGCCGAACATGGACCCGATGTGTTGTGCTAACATTTAGCTGTTATCACTGGTGTTGATGCTAACTATAAGAAACTTTATCTTCTTTATATTCGTAGCTTCTGTTGCCCTGGTCTTGGTCTTACTCCTGCTCCTGGTCCGTGTCTTTGTCCTGGTTCAGGACCTCTCCCCTGCCCCACTCCTTCTCCTTGACCTCCCTGTTGACCTCCACAGTCCACTGTCCACACTGACTCTCTCTCTGTTGGCTGTTGACTCTCTCTCTCTCGTGTCTCAGACTTGACTCTGGTGACAAATCCCTCTGATTTGTCCGTGGACGTTTGTTTAAGTCACACATTTTAACCCACGAATCACAGACTGGGATGATGTCACTGACAGTGAGTTGACCTCACAGACCAAACTGTTACACAGCCTCCATTACTGAGCTAGAAATGAGTTGTTCAGATTGACCCTTAGTGTCATTAACTGACCACAGGAGGCAGCAGAGGACCGGCAGCCCCTGTGTCTCTCAGAGCTTATACGACTGATTTCCTCTATTACACATGTGTCAAAGTCAAGGCCCGGGGGCCAAATGTGGCCTGCCAAGTTGTTCTGTGTGGCCCGTAGGAGTTTAAGAAGCATTTAGTAAATTTGAGTGTTTAAATTGTTTTTTGATTACACAGCAATGAACAATATTTGTAGCCTGAATAAATAATAACTAATTGCAGAAACGTGTATCAGTCTGATGTGGCCGCTGCTCTGTTTGGTTTTGGTCTGTGGGCCAAACCTTGGACTGGGCCAATACTCAAAAAGCTGTGGGGCGGGGACCCTCCCCGCTCCAGGACCTCCAGTGGATCACAGAACTGCACTCAACAAATGTCTGAGCCAAGAATCGGAGGTGTATTTATGGGAAGAGGAAGTCACAGCTTTTCACCTGCAGATTATAAAGGTACCATAACCCTGTGTCTCGTTACTGGATTCCTCAGCAGCCGCAGTTCAACAGAACAAGACTGTCCACTTCTCAGAGAATTCCCGGACATGATTCCATGCCTCGGGGTTCTTCTTTAATCGAATACTTATTGTAAACACTCATACAGTGGTGCTACTAGTTTTAGTTTATGTCTGTTCTAATTCCTTATTTCATCATCCATCATCGACATCATTATCACCATCACATGGTTTCATTAGTAGAGTTGTTGTCAAAGAACTACTTTTCTTTGTCGTTTTCTTTACTGGAAAACAGCTCCTTATAGTCAATGACGTTTTCTTTGTTCGGACACACAAAAAAAAGTCACTCGTTCATCTGGTTTGTTTTGTTGGTTGTTTTTTTTTTACATGTGAATTCCGTGCTTCAGTGACGTCGCATGAATGGATGCCTGTGTCGGCAGCACCTCCCAGGACACAGGTGCCACCTTTGACCTTTGAAGGGCAACGACTGCTTGGTATTATCAGATTATTCTTTATCCCCGTCTGACAGATCCACTGTTTCGTCACCCTCACCCTTCCTGCCTCACCCATTTGTGCTGGGTTTCATCTCTTTGTCGGTGGACTTTTCCTGACTGACGTTTTGACATTTGGTCTGAAAAGCACCAGCGGCGCTGAACCATGACCGAGCGTGAGGTCTGTGCTGGGCTCGCACTCAGTCGGACCGATATAAAAACAGTAGTGTGGACGTCAGCAGGCTGTACCAGGAGCTGCACCAGGAGCTGCACCAGGAGCTGCACCAAAAAATAAATAAAACTAGTCAACAAGAAGGTTTAATCACTGATTTTTGAATCAGTTACACTTGCACTGACTATTGTATGTCCCAGAACTTATTATTATTATCACTATTATTACATTGTTCACAACGTAATCAAATACATCGTCTATATACAATAGTCAATACAATAAGTATAATTCTTAAATAAATAAATAAAACTTAAAATAAAGCTCTTGAAGTAGCTCTGAGTTCCAGAAACGTTGGTGACCCCTGGTGTAGACTAACGAGCTGAACACTGACGAACAATGGAACATCATTAAACACAATTAATCACAGCCGTTGGACCTTGTTGTGCAATAGCACAGTCCGGTGATGTGACGGAGAACAATCGTCGATATTGTTCCCCAGTTGCTGTGAAAGCTTCTGTTTACATTAAACCCAAGCAAGGTATCAGGTTCAAGGGCTTTAAAACCAGTCTGACAGTCCAGGTCTCTGTTGGAGACTAAGTTTCTGCCGTCAGCGTTAGCATTGCTTTGCGTTAGCTTCTGTTATGTCACAGGGATTATTTATTTATTTATTTATTGGTCAGGAGTGACCAGGTGGAAACTGCTGACAGGTTGTATCCCTTTTTTTTCTTTTTCTGACTCATGGAAAATAAAAAACCCAAAGATGTGACGACAGTATACAGCACTGTGTATCTGTCAGAGCTCCCACTGCTGGGCAACAGGAGACCTACATTCAAGGATCCCAGCCTCAGACTCAAGTCATAATACATACTATTTTTTAGTCTAAACTGCTCTCTATTTTTTATTTTCTAACTGTTTGGTCATTTTCTGGGGTTTTCTAGACACATCCCACCTTGTGACAAACTGGTACGACGTGAGTTGAGTGTGCTACGGAAGACTAGCCTAACCGTTTCCTCTTAGCTTTTTAAAACGTTTTAAAAAGATTTAAAATGGCGGCAATTCCTAAGACACTGCATCACGATTCCTCCCGTAATGTGTGTAGTGTAGAATTGATTTTTGTTTTTATTTTTTAAACACGATGCTTTTTATTATTATTATTATTATTCTCCTGACAGAAGATAGCAGCGATGGCTAAAAATCGACGGAGACTTAGCTTTTGATAATTAAGAACGAGAATAACTTAATATATAAATTCGATAAGAATATGTCCATTAATAAGAAAACAAGCCCAGTAAATATTAACGAAATAATGAACAAACTAGTTGATTAATAAAAAGCTTAATGTTTGATTGATAAACATCAAAAACTCTATAATTATTATTATAATTATTATTATTACTTATAATAGCTGGTGTGTATTTTGATCTACCGTTTAAAATACCTGTTGTAATGACGCCATAACTCCACAGGGTGGAGACATGTGATGACAAATGAGGATGAAAGGCCAAACCGTCACTTCCTTTGACAGAAGATTGACATCCTGAACTGGGTACAACGCTTCAGTACAAGGCATCAGGTATTTCATTAAATGTATCCGTTGAATTTATATATATATATAAAAGTATTTAACAAGAGGAAAAGTAAAAGTTTATGAGACGCAAAAGAAATGACGCAACAGACAAAAACCAAAAAATAGCACGGAAGTAAGTGATATATTAGTTCTGATTTATCTCATTGACATATAATGACCACAGGAGGCAGCAGTGAACCTGTCTCCTGAAGCTGAAAAAAAGTTTGCAAAATTAAAAATTTTAAAACAGCCACTCTGTCCTTCACCAAACCTCATAGAGAAAACCAGTCAATTGAGACACGAGCGTGGACTAAGAGTGTTAAAGTCATTTATTTTATTTTATTTTTGTTCTTTAGCCTGTGAGCTGAAATCACTGACGTTCTCCAGGGACTTGTGTTTTACAGAGTTCTTCTTTCCCCTCTTTCTACATCAGCAGCATCGCGAGCAGTTGACATGAGGTTGATTAAAACAGGTCGCTTTGGAAACCAGTCAACCAATGGCAGAGCAGGATGCTGTTTACAGGGAGAGGGAGGAGGGAGACAGCGTTTCTATGGTTGCCGGACAAACCTCCTGACGCCAGGTATTAAAACCAGCCTCACACACTCTCTCTCCCTCTCCCTATCGCTTACACACACTCTCTCTCACACACACACAAAGTGTTCAAACTTCGTCCTCAGGAATTTAACTCGTCTCTTCTCCAAAAGTGAGAAGAAGAGGTGAACGACACAAGGTGAGTTTTTTTTTTATTTTTATATTTATAAATACATCCTTTTTTCAACACATCACTCATTTAAACGACTTTATTTTTTTGGTGAAAGCGGCTCTGCAGTTTCACTGTGACTAACGACTAATGTGTTACACTCACTAATGTCACTGTAGCTAAAGCTGATAACAATAATTAAACCGCGGAAGCAGAATTCATTTAATTAATTTACATCTGTCTGATTTTTTTATTTTATTTACACAAAACTGGTGTTTTGATTTTCTGTTTATTTAATTTTGTTTTTAAGTTTGAAACAGTTTTTTAGATTATAATACAAGAGAGTTATTCATTATTTAATAAGGTTATTCAGGAGAGGAAATGCGGAGAAGGAGTACCGAGGAGAACAGAGAGGAGGGGAGGGGGAGGAGTTACTTTCTGGAACATTCCGTCAGTTTCATTTTTCACATGTTGCAATATAAATACACAAATATACAAACATGTGACAGGACTGATAGAATGTAAATGCACTTCTTTCATATGCATACACACATTCACATAGACACACACACACATTCACATGGACACACACACACACACACAAACAGGTGTCTCTGTTTTCAAATGTCCTCACACCTCGTCGTCTCGTCTTTGTTCTCCTTCTTCACCTTTAAAACCAGCAGACAGTGACGGTTTTTCACTTTGAGCGAAAAAAAAAAAAAAATTCTGACAGCGCCAACAGGTGGAGACAGCTGGAATACTCCACTATTCCGAGACTCTGTCAACAGGTGGAGACTGCAGGAATACTCCACTATTCCGAGACTCTGTCGACGAAATACTGAGATGTTTTACATCAGGGATTCATAAAGGTTAAAGGTCGAATCTAACAATAATATTTTGTTACTTTATGTGTAGTGGATCAACTCTGCTAAAACCGTTTGTTTAAACTAGTTGTTAATTCTGACTAAGTTGTTGAATTGTGACCTCCGTCAGACTCCAGTGTCAACGACCTACGACCTCAGTGTCAGTGACCCACATCAGCACACACCTCAGTATTTAGTCGTTGTTCAGTCTTTGTCCGTCATCCAGACTGATTAGTCAATCTGCCTCGGTGTAAGTGTCGGCCCCTGGGGGCAGCAGTGAGCCTCACTTTAACTATCGTCTTCTATATACCGACTAGTGCCATCAACAATGTCGGCCATCTTTGTTTCCTCCATTGTTGATTGTCTTTCTTCCCACCTCCTCCTCTGTGGGAGAGCAGTGATGATGTCACAGACTGATGTGTTCAGACCTTAATGACTAATTAATCCACCATAACTGAGTGAATGATAATAATATTCGCAGTTTTCTGTGGTCACCGTTGGCAGGTGCAGGAGGTGACGGAGGAGGGCCATGCTGTCTCTAACCTCTTCTGATCCCTGGCCTGAGGGCTCAGTGGCCCTGGAGGAGGAGGTGGTGACCGCCGCAGCCCAGGCGGAGCAGCGAGACAGTGGCGTCAGCATCAGCGTCAGCGACGTTAGCATCAGCAGCTCTGTATGTTTGGACGACAGCCTGACCAGCCTGCAGTGGCTGCAGGAGTTCTCCATCCTGAGCGCTAACGTTCCACAGCAGCCGTTCCAGCATCAGACCGGTCTGTTTGGACACCGCCCTCCTGGGTCCGACGCACCGGCCTCGCCTCTCGCGGGCGACCCTGCCTCCATGGGCACACCCCTGACCCCGGGGAAGCCCACGGCCGCCGCCTACTGCAGGATGCAGCCCATCGTGGCTCACGGTCACTGTCCTGACGAGGTGGACTACAAGACCAACGCAGACGTGAAGCCGCCGTACTCGTACGCCACGCTGATCTGCATGGCCATGCAGGCCAGCAAGAAGTCCAAGATCACGCTGTCGTGCATCTACAAGTGGATCACTGAGAACTTCTGCTACTACAAACACGCTGACCCCACCTGGCAGGTGAGAACACATGCACACACAGACACAAACATACCACCGGAGGCAGCGCTGGGCCAGCATGAAAACCGTAATAGGTTTTTATGACTTTAGGAGGTTTTTATTTGTTAGATTGTATGGTTGTTGGTTCCCTCAGAGCGCCCTCTGCTGCTTCAGACAGTCTGTAGTTCTGACACTGAAGATATTCTTTTTTTGAAGTTTAAATAAACATGTTGACAATAGTCCTTTTTATGTTTTTGAAGTTTAAATAAACATGTTGACTGTGGACTGGACCCAAACACACGTCTGTGACCCGTTTCTCTGACTCACCTGTCTCTCCTGTTGGATCAGAGAGTGATGGAGGAGTCAGAGCCGGGACATGGAGTCCTACAGGCCTGTAGGCCGGGGCCGAGGAATCCGTTTCTCAATCAAAGTTTAATTTTGTTGGCTAAATGATTGACCTGCTGTGAGCTGTAGCGCAGTATTTTCAGCTTCAGCCTCTGAGACTGTTGTTATTGTAGGGCAGTGAGCGGGGCAGATAATATTTAACTAAGATCCTGGGGGGTCGCTCCACTGTAGACTCAGAGTGGGGGAGGGGGGCAGGTCTGTGATGGAGGCTGTGGTTTAATGCTAGGCTGCACAGCACATTAGTGCAGTGTGTGGTGACACGACTGCTTCCTGGTTCACTGCTGAGGGAATCTCATCTGGGGAGAGGTTTGAATCTCTTCACTCATTGGCTGAACATGAAGAGAGCGACTGATTATTATCACGTAGCTTAGCATGTTGACCTAAAAAAATAAATTAGACGCTGTTCTCTAGGTCAGTGTGTCTGGAATCACATTAACAATCTAAGTATTTGACGTTGGATGATGAGAACTATCATCAGGTGGAGATTTGATCAAATCAACAAAGAATTCTTCAAAGAGAGACTAAGAGTTAGCTGAGAACCTGTAACAAAAAACCAACATTTTCTGCCCTGGTTTATAGATTTTTTATTTTTTTTACCCTTCTTTTTCTTTCTCTTCTCTTTGCAGAACTCCATACGACACAACCTGTCCCTCAACAAGTGCTTCATCAAAGTGCCGCGGCAGAAGGACGAACCAGGGAAGGGGGGTTTCTGGAAGATCGATCCACAGTACGCCGAGCGCCTCCTGAGTGGAGCCTACAAGAAGAGACGGATGCCACCGGTCCAGATCAACCCGGCCCTGCAGAACCGGCTCAGGATCAACCTCCAGCCCTCGTCCAGAAACCCGTACAGCCCCCCCGGGGCAACGCTCAGTCTGAACATCAACCCTGAGTCGCAGCAGCTCCTCAGGGAGTTTGAAGAGGCCACTGAAGCTGATCAGAACTGGGATCCTCATCTGGCCAAGGGCACCATGCTGGGCTCCTGGCCAGTGGTCAGGGGTAGAGGTGGTCAGAAGAGGAAACAGTCCCTGGGCTCCAGGGCTGGTGCGATCAAAGCCCCCCGACGCTGCAGTTCTCCTTTGCTCTCCGTAGACGAACACAAGGAGGTGGGACCGCTGAAGGGCGACTTCGACTGGGATGCCCTGCTGGACTCGGCCCTGAGCGGCGAACTTAGTTTGGAGGAAGGAGATCACCTGGATCCCATCGAAGGAGTGGAGGACTTGACGGTGAGGGGGACGCACATCTCCCCGGCTGAAGTTCCAGCGGGGACGGGAGACTTCCACGTGCTGTTAGAAACTCATCGCAATAATGAGGTGTCAGACCTTGACGAGGAGACCTTCCTCGCCACAGCCTTCCTGGAGAACCCTTGGCCTGAAGAAGAGGAACAAGTCAACAACGATTTCCTCTGTACCTCGACCGTCAACCTGGACCAACTCTTTGACCTCGGAGACTCGTTGAACGGAGACTCCAGCACCAGGATCGACGCCCTGCTTTGAGGAACAGCCAGTGAGCAGGCCCTGGTTTGGCTTCACTGAGATACACTGGAATATTTTTACTCTGCTCTTCTTTTTTTTTTTTTACATTGTTAAACAAATTGAAGAACCTTTTTGTGCAGGATCCACAATCACACCGACTGAACCGAGAAGCCACAACGTCATCACAGTGAAAAACTCCAAACTGATTTTCAAGACTGCAGACCAAAGACTGTAGACTAAGAACCGGAGGTTCTCCCAGACGTGTTCCACTCTTCTTCTGTTTTCTTCTAAACTGAGTCATTGTTTCAGAACTGACATCATAAAAGACCTGGATCTGATGTACGACCCAAACGTCCTGAAGGTCGGGGACAGTGAAACAGTCACAGATGTTCGTGTCTGAAGTGTCTGAATTCTACCACTAGCCATGTTTTTTCACTGCATTCTACCAGGAACCGTTGGCACCGTTTGTGTTTCAGCCCTAGTGGCCACAGCAGGAAGGTTACACCAGTGAGTTCCTCTAATGTGTCAAACAGTTCCCAGTGTCTCTGGTCTCTCTCTCTCTCTCAAAGTTGCTCCAAATGGGAAAAGTCAGACAGAGGTTCCTGGACTTCCCCTGGTCCCACGTCTTCTTCAGAGTAAACTCTGTTGTTCCTGAGTCAAAGGTTGTAAAAATCAAACTGACACATTTTCCCACTAGTCGAGAGGTTCTGCCATGAAAGTACCAGAACTACCTGATGGTCCCACCTGTGGAGCAGGGACTGTTCTGTGGTTGACGTTCCCTGGTGTTTGGTACCAGTTCAGTGTACAGTGATGTGTATTGTTACTGGTACTGTACAAACTGATGGTACTCATTTGTATAATAAGGAGGTGGGTTTTTGGTACTGTTCTTAGATCCTGGTACCTGCAGTGGAAATCACATATAGTTCCTGTGTATGTGTATATATATGGTACGGTGTTCTTCTATGGTAAACCCATCAGAACTTCCTCCTGGTCCTGGTCCTGGTTCTGGTCCTGGTCCTCTTCTTCTCGACTGTCTGTGCTGTCTGTGCTGTCTGTCTGTCTGTCTGTCTGTCTGTGCCGTATCACTGACAACAACTCCCTTTTGTTCATAAACCTCCTTACTATGACTCTCTCCCTTCCTCTCCTCTCCGTTCCTCCCTTTTGTATCTCCTCCCATTTCCCCTCTCTCTCTCTCTTTCTCTCTCTTTCTCGCCCTCTTTGCATAACACACACACACACAGAATCATTAGTACCAGACTTTTCCTGAACGGGAGACGATTCCTGTGATTCCTGTTGTAGTGTCATCCTCCGGGTTGGACTTTCTAACTGACCGGCTGTAAAGTCCAGAACTCACGTCTTCAAGTGCTGCAGGCATAAAAACAAAAAAAACAAAAAAAAAGAAAACTGAGGGAGCCGGACCTTCAAACATGTTAATCAGTACCTGAGCGTCTGTGCGCCAAGAGCAACACGAGCAGGAATACGACTGTTCTGGTTGATTTGAGGAGATGGAGAGAAGGTCAAACTATGGATCCAGGGACCAAAAACTGACCTGAGTCACTGACCTGAGTCACTGACCTGAGTCACTGACCTGAGTCACTGACTGACACACCAGTATCACATGAGGTCTGTGGTTTCCTCAAAGTCTGGTCTGTAGATTGTAGACGTCTCTGTCCTGAACCAAACAACTGACTTTTGGTCTGTAAGATAAAATGTGACCTTCAAACGTCTTGTTTTTTGGGGAGTTCAAAAAAAAAAGTTCAAATGTGGACCAGGTGTAACCCCTGGTGGTTGGTTTAAGAACTTTCTGTAAACATCCCTTTTGCTTCAGTGTTTGTTTTTTTTTTATATATATTTTATTTTATTTTCCACTTTTCTCTGACAATAAAAAAGCTTCACAGACATTTGTCAGTTTATGTTTTTCTTCTTACTCTTCTCTGCAGGGTTTCTGAATTTGTTTTATTTTTTTTTTCCAAATCTCAAAAAGAACATTTAAAGGAACTGGATTTCCGTCCTTAGACCAAACAAGGGCACAGGTTGTGGGCACCTGGAGGTGTAAAGATCACAGCGCCACCTACAGAGCAACACGGTTAAATAGATGAAGGTCATGTTGACGTGCATGTACATCCAAAATGTAACAGACTTTTAGTGTGGATGTAGCCTGACGTGGCTGCATTCTCCTGCTGCTCTACGTGCCCCTCTCCGCCGCCNTCCTGCTCATCAGCGTGGATTCTGCGGCTGGAGTCAGAGGGTGGTCGGCCACTTCCCTTCAGACCTTTTGTCTGAGCTCAGTCAGACTCTTGTTCTCCATACTGCTCAGGTCTGTGCTCCTTCACAGGGAGGGTGTGGGGTCCCAATGAGACAAGTATCCCACGCCCCCCCCCCACACACACACCACCCCCCAAAACTGCCGTAGACCGTGGCGCTGCTCCCTGACCCTGCGGCAGATTAGCACATTAGCCCGGCTCATGTCGGAATAACCACCGTAGTCAAATGCAAATATGNCTGTCTGTCAGCGAGTCTGTGGTCACCCATGAGCTAATGATGGCTAACAGATAAAAGAGCTGTAAGGCTACACCGCTGCATGCAGGACACCCAACACTGGGCCGAGGAGTGGCGTCCTGCAGCTCCGTGTCCAGACCCGGCCGTCCACACCGCACCAGCGTCTTTGGTCCTACTACGGACAGTGTTGGTGACAGAAGTCTCCACAAAGAACTGGTGTAGTCGAGGTGTCAAACTGCTCCTATCACAACACAACAAACGGTTTTTGTCACTGATGGTAAAATCCTTCCAAACTGTCGGTCAACATCGTTGACAACGAAACACTAAAACTGCAGTAGGAAACTGAAAAGTTCTTACAGAGTCACTGGTATCATGTACTGTAGGTGCTGGTTTTTAATGTTGAACCCAGTTCAAACGTTGTACCAGGGCTCCAGAAATGTAGCTCTGGATTCATGTTGACTTCACATCATTTTTATTTCCTTCTGTCGTTAGCATTTAGCTTCGTTAGCTTTGTCTCAGGAGAATTAATCATTGGACCACAGCCACAGCACGAAGGTTTTCTCCTTTCTTTCCCGGCAGCCTTCCTCACCCCATCCTCACCCCCTGCAGACTCCCTTCCTCCAGCTGGGCTGTACAGGACTCCTGGTGATCCTGTGTCAGGCCTGGTCAGCTGAGAGGCCTGCCGTAACCTGACGCCGGTATTATTCCTGGCCTCCACTGACGGCGGCAGGTAAGAGGAGCCTCCCGGTGAAACGCTAACCGCTCGCTGCTCGTTCCAACCCAGAAACGCTGCAAACAGAAAGTGCCAAACAGCTTCTCGGCCTGTGGGAACGCCGCGGCCGCGTCTGTTTACGGAGCTCTTCAACTGGCCTGGGCCGCAGCAGCCTGGGCCACAGCAGCCCGGGCCGCAGCAGCCTGGGCCACAGCAGCCCGGGCCACAGCAGCCCGGGCCGCAGCAGCCTGGGCCACAGCAGCCTGGGCCGCGACAGCCTGGGCCACAGCAGCCTGGGCCACAGCAGCCCGGGCCGCAGCAGCCTGGGCCACAGCAGCCTGGGCCGCGACAGCCTGGGCCACAGCAGCCTGGGCCGCAGCAGCCCGGGCCACAGCAGCCTGGGCCACAGCAGCCCGGGCCGCAGCAGCCTGGGCCACAGCAGCCCGGGCCACAGCAGCCCGGGCCGCAGCAGCCCGGGCCACAGCAGCCTGGGCCACAGCAGCCTGGGCCGCAGCAGCCCGGGCCACAGCAGCCTGGGCCACAGCAGCCCGGGCCGCAGCAGCCTGGGCCACAGCAGCCCGGGCCACAGCAGCCCGGGCCTGGGCCTCTCTCTGCTCACATGGTTATGGATATTTATAGATGTTAAAGGTCCAGTGTGAAACGTTCTGCCTCACAGAGAGTCACAGAAGGTGTGTTCAACCTCAGGCTCAGGGGCTCAGTGCTTGACCACACCAAAGATGACTGTAGGCCCACATCAGCGGGCTAACTACTAGCTGTACCCCAACTGTTTGTAATCCAACCTTTGACCTGTATTCAAGTCATATAAAGACACATTTCTGAATATTTTAACCGTCAACTTTTAGCTTTATGTTAGGGTAACCTTTTTGTAATGATAGATTCTCTTCTTTTTTGAGAATAACTTTTAGATATTGATAAGCATTTTTAGGATGAGGATACTTTTTACTGTTCCAAGCCTGACTTCTCCACGTTAACCTTAAATCACGAACGAGGTAACGGTCCTGGGTCGGCTGAGAAGCCGAGCAGCTTTGTAAACATGAACATCTTCCTTTTTCAGGCTCTCACACCTCAGGCCGTTTGTCTGAACGCTGCACTTTAATAAATCTCCGCTCCCCTGTTGTAGAGCGGACTGGTTCTGGACGTCAGGAGCCCGTGGAGCCCCACTGTGGTCAAACCTTGGGCCATAAATCTGAGGCTCTGCCCGGCCCTTCTCTCTGTCTGTCTATGGCCCTCATCAACCACACTGTCCCTCCTCCTGCTCCTCCCCCCCCCCCC